ATGGTGGAATTAAAAGGAAGTAATTCATATATTTTGTACATGATTTCAATTGTTAACTGCGTAAATACCCTTTCTCACTCCAGCTACTGACACTAAATAAGTTTCAATTATACCATGCGTCGCCCATAGTCATCTACCTGTGCACTAACGATGAACCATCATATTTCAAAAGCCTCATGACAGAATCACTGACAGATTGCCATGGGTTTGGTAAATGTTAGTATTTCCACTTGAGAAAAAGTTTTGTTTACTGAAATTTGTATTTAGGTTATGTGTATGTACTGAAATTCTATCACAGTTCTACCAGCAATGGTATAAAAAAACAGAACACAATTCATTTGTTTTGAAAATAGGACAGGTCTGTCAATTAAAATAAATTAAATCTAAAAATAAAAATCTAAATCTAAATTATTCACGTTTGTTTTGTATACTCGCACGACAATGTGGCAATAATGTGAAATGAGAATAACGCATAGCCTTACGCAAGATGAAAATAACGTAATGTCAAATGAGAATAACGTAATGTCGTGAAACACAACAACAAGCTTCTTGTGACAACATTACAACATTATTTGCACATAGAACCATTATCTTCAACCTCCTGAATCTGATACAGGCACGACCCACAAAATGTGTGCCCACAATCTATTGAATGCGTCTTTCAGTCCTGCAAAACATACTGTGCACAAGGGTGCAGTTGATTTGAGTTGCACCTGAAAAGAAATTTTCAAAATTGATTTAGTGCAAAAATATATAAAACATTTTTTTTCTATCAAAATTTGTAAATGAAGTTGATGATGTAAAAAAACATCTGTCTTAAGTCTTAAATTTTCCAGGAGAGATTAACGCATTCAGGCACATTTTTATTTTTTTCTCTCATTTGATACTTGATCTCAAGTAAACACTTGAGGTCGACGATAGAGGGTCGGAATAATTGGTCGGACACCACCTCTCAAATGAAAATGTGCAGGATGCACTTGAGGGTTTAGGGAGGAACTCCCATCCATGTATCTGAACAAATAGTGAAAAACCTCAACATTGAACATACAGAAGAACAATGTCGGGATAGATGGAATTATTTAAAGCGTAAATACCGCGAAATTGTCAAATGGAACAATGTGGAATGTGTGTGCAATTGTATACAGCCACAAAAATTAGTATGTTAGTCCGATTTTTGCTTCCAAAAATAGAGTATATCATTAGCTACTGAGTAATGATATACTCTATCATAATTATATTATCTTGTCTTCATTTACTAAAAAACGAACGAAACGTTACATGGTGTCAGAATTTAGAACCCAGGATCATTGTTACCTGATATACTTGTTCTTGTTCTTTGGACTCTCATGTTTTGGTAAAGGCAAACATCCCAGCAGAGGGATTCAGCAGAACTTAAGGAAGTTTTATATCTCGGAGATAAACCAGAGATGCAGCAATACCTTGGCATGGTCACATATCTAGCAAAATTCATTCCGGACTTATCAACCATCACCATCATTTTACGACCCAAACAAACAAAGTAAGGTCAGTGCCGATGCTTCAAAGGATGGCATTGGAGCAGTTATCCTCCAGCAACACAATGGTAGATGGGCACCTACAGTGTACGCCTCAAGAGCGATGACATCTGCAGAAACTGGTATGCCCAAATAGAAAAATAGTGCCTAGCCACAATGTTTGCCTGTGAGTGCATGGTACACCATTTTGGCCTTGTGAAATTAACAAACTAGCTTTGAGAGATAATGCTGTGCCTATTATCAAAAATGCAGACAAAGCCCAATAAAAATGAATTTATCTATAATACGGCAAAGAAAACAAGTTACAAACATCGCGATAGAAAATAGTGCCCCGACAGATATAGGATACCCAATGTATTAATTGGGTATTTCGATATATATCACGATTTGGCCGAAATAGTTCAGGATAACTCTCCAGAAATAAATTCTTAGCCAAAAAATGTTTTTTGTCAAGCGCTCGAATCGATTTGGTAAAAGTTTTTTTTTTTACAACAAATGTTGTTTATTTTCAAGAATAGACTAACAGGTTTTTTTTCTTCAGTTTTTAAACTATAAAGGTAAGTAAGTTTCAAATAATAATTGTCGTACCAATAATTTAAAAAGATTTTCCGAAATATATTCTATTACCTTGTTGCGTACTGGAGCCAGGCTCGGCTCCAACGAATAGAGGGCGCCCCTTGATAATTTTATTATCTATTGTTACTATTTTGTAGTTCAATCGTGACGATTAGACTGTATAATGATTATCAAAAGAGACATCAGGCAAGCCAAACTACAGTTAGTTTTATCAACATGATTATAAAATTAATATTTTCTATAGTTAGGCCCTATAAAAAATACGCTCCAACAAATGGCCACCAAAACAGTATATTAATCAATCATGAACAATAATAGCTGCAGCGCAATCCCATCGCACGAACAAATTGCATCATCACAGTTCTTGTCACTGACAGACACATTCAAGTGGCCAAATGGATACGTGAAAATTTGAAAAACAATGGCCCTATACTTTTTGGTTTTTCTTTAACAAACATTTATATTATGGGTTACGTATACGTTTGCCCTATCTGTGGACAAGTTGTCAAAAGAAGTTTAGACACTTCCGGCGGTCCACCCTTCCTGCATGTTGTACAGCATTAACAATGTTTTCAGTTACCTTATTTTTTCGAATAAACATCCTGTTTATTGTAATATTAATAATTAATTGTGATGGAAGAATTCCATTCCATTTTTTTTTTTTTTTTTTTTTTTATATTACTGTATTGTGGTAATACATGAAAGTTACAGATCCTGCAAAATATGCATCTATCTTAGAGGATGGTAAAATTTACGGAAGATTGAGAAGATTAGAAATGTCTGTAGCAAAAGATAATCTAAAGAAACGAATCCTGTCTGTTAAAGAAAAAAAGAAGGCTGAGCAGCTAGTTGAAAATTAAAAAAGTATAATGATGGGTGGGCTAGGAGAATGAGAAAGATGAGAGCTAAAGTGAAAGCACAGAAGAAAGATGAAAATTTACCGCCTAAGAAACTGACGAGACAACAAAAACAAATAATACAAGATAAAAAGGAAGCTTTGGCAGCTAAAAGACGTGCACAGTCTGCAGCAATGACTACCGAACATGAGAATAATTTGAAACGCAGAAGAGAGCTTTATGCTTTATAGAAACAGAAAAAAATAATGGAAACTCACCCTAGAAGAAACAAGAAATAATCTACAGGGACATGGAGCAGATATTCAAAATCCTGCAGCACGACGAAAAAGCAAGGAAGTCGATGCCTAGACAACCAGCTCAGTATGCAAATACAACAATGGATCTCATCAACAATGCATTACCAAGAAAGGCTGCAGTGCTTAAAGACCTAAATGTCACTGTAAGTGTTCATACAAGCCCGGAGGCAGCTGTTTGTGAGGCCGTGTCTGAAGAACTCTCCCAGCCAAAGCAGTCTGTGACACGGAGGGCTATTAGCTGTTCGCTTCATGTTTTAAAGAAGCAGCGTCTCATCAGGAAAGCTGCCAAGAAGTTTGGTGTGAGCAGAAAACTGTTGAACCGGGCTAAGAAATACACAGCTGGACGGAAGAACTTGCCAACATCCACAGTTGATACAAAAAGATGGTGAGCAAAAAAAACTGGCCTATCTACGAAGCTCATCGATCGCTCAATTAGTGTGGCCTTTTTGCCAGTTTCAGGAAGCCCTCCTAGATGTTAAAATCAGTAAATCTGCATTTTTTAAACTCAGACCTCGCCATATTAAGACACGTCAGCAACAAAGTATCGAGGATGCCTTTGCGAGTACTGCGCAAACATCACTCTGAAACTTCATGTATGGCGAGCCGAGTCGTCATTTAATCGTAAATAGAGATAAAAATAATAAAAGTAATAAAAATTCGCCATAATTCATCAAATATCCGTGGCTTCCAGGGGGATTCGCCCCCCCCCCACTGGGGGCCCTAGGCGGCCCCCTGGCCCCCAGCCAAGTGAGACTCGATCCGCTCCACGGGCCTTTAGCACCTCCGTCAGGCAGGTCCTGGCGCCACCACTGATTAATGTATTGCATGATTGATTAATTCATATTAATTATTTTTTATTTCCTAGGTACTTGATCACTGTCAACTAGCCCGTAGACAATATTCTTGACAGTGATCAACTAGATCTAGAGAACCACTCTCATCTGCAAGCACTATATGCTGTGTATGTGCCAGTCATTAACAACCGACTTGACAAGCCTGGAATATGCACAAAATGACGTCTGATGCGGCTCAGCGTACACCTGAACAACAGTGGATAGACGGAATGTTGTCAAATGCTGGCTCAGACATAAGGGCAGTTAATTCGGTTTTTGAAGGCGAATCAGTTGAAAGGACTACACCCTGAAGCGTTTGGTGACTTGGCAGATGAAAATAATTTGGTAGGAAACTTCTTCAGTTGAATGAGTTTCATGTCGCTGTGGAGGGCATAACTGACTTGCAGCAAAGATATATTATAGCTCTTAATCTGTTTGGTACTATTGAGTAGCATTTGGTACAATATAATAGCGTTTTGTAGGATTGCATGTTATTTTGGTCTAAGGTGATATATTGTGGCATACCGTACCAATAATAATTTAATATTTTGATTATTATTATTATTATTTTTCATTATTTTGATTAGTTTTAAATAGTATGTGTGCCAAGCCACCAACTTCATCATATCATCATCCTGCTTGTGTCAAGAGAACATGTAATATTTGTGGTATTCATCAACTTGATGAGAGACTTGTGCCGCTCTTGGCTCAAGGAGCAAGACCGATTGAATGGAAACGGTGAGATCTAATTATTCAGCAAGTGAAGAAAATAGCTTTGGAAATTATTTTAATGTGGGTACCAAAGTGTGACATGAGTGTCATTTTTTTAAATGTGTCAAATTAAATTATTTATATAATTATAATTATAATTATTATTATAAGTGATAGGCTGAAACATGACACTCTGGTCACATAGGTATTTGTCAGTCGCAATGATGAGACAAAATACCATGACACTCTGGTCACATAGGTATTTGTCAGTCGCAATGATGAGACAAAAATACCACAACATTTGCCGTGAGTACAACCACCCAACATTGGCATTTACGAAAGAAGGTGGTACAAAGCATACAAGCACCCAGCAAGACGTTGGCAAGAAACACTCTGGTTGTTTGCTGAAACTTGTAATGGAAGCTACACACAATTTAAGGTGAGCAATAGAAAATTAATTAAGTGAATATCTCGTTAATAATCACTAGGACACAGGAAGGAATTAAAAAAACAAGTTTTGTTTAACTGAAAATACTGTCAATTGATGAATGTCTTTTCAGATGAGTACATAATATAATATAATATAATTCTGGATTTTTATAGCGCCTCACAGTATCTCAGTATGGTATGTGATTGATAAAGCAGCAAATGTAAATGTTTGATAAAATTTTTGATTTGTAACAAACCTGGTTTTGCATTATTGTAACTACTGTATTTATTCCTCAATAGGAGCAAATGACATGCTCAAATGGATTTGATGCTAACAGTTTCATCTGTGTGGACATGATGAAATGGACACGTCCAAGCCATGGTTAGCAGAAGTTGGCAATGCTCAGAGCTTTGCAGCAAGTGATTGAGGCCAAAATATTTCAAAAGAATTGAATTAAAATGCATGCTGATCAATTTGAATATATACTGTAGTTGAACTTGCCTATGTGACGAGAGTGGGGAAGATACAAAAAACAATTTCAATAACAGACTAGGTTTGGAATGCTGACAAAACTTTCTTTCATGAGTGATGAGATTGTCAAGAAAACAGATCACAGATGTCCCATGAATTTTCAAGAATGAATCCTTTACAAAGATCTGTTGCATTAATGAGGATGGACTTATCAGGTAATGCGGGACCTGGGCTGACTCAACCTCATATCCGAACGTAAGCCGAACCTGGGTCGGCTCGAGGTCGCCTTGATTGCGGTCAATTTTGCCTACCATAACATTACAAACTGACCGGCGCAAAAAAACCCCAATTGAGAAAAAAAAATGGTTAAGGAAAAGATGTCGCAAAATTCAGCAAGAGGGAATTACTGGGATGAGGATGAGGTGTCTTTTAGCTGTGTGGACGGAGAGGGGCATACAACAACAGATGGATGGCAGTGTAAGGAACGCAGTGGTGTTCAGAGAGGTAAGTGGTAGGATGCTTGGGGAAGGTTATGAGCGTACTGCCGAGCAGGTGAAGAGGCGAATTAAGGCGATGAGGCAGGCTTATAAAAAGGCTGTTGATAATAATAAGAGTGGGGCGGCTCGTAAAACATGCCGGTTTTTCGACAAGCTTTCCTTAATTTTAGGGCCAAGACCGGAGGTTAATCCTCCCCATGTGCTAGGTTCGTTGAACGAGGACAGGCCCGGCACTAGCTGCAACAACAATAACGATGATGACAATGAAACTGATGAAGAAATTGAAAAGTCAGTCAAATTAATCTAATTTTTCATTCAGAAAGTCTGACCAATTGCTTATTAGATATTATTGTATTGTATTGTTCCAACTTTCTCATAATGTCAATCAGTCATGCTGAAGAGGACCTGAGGTCAGGTCGAAATATAAAATAGTGTATATGTATATCTCAGGTTGCAGAAGTAAAGGAAATGAAATGACAAGGCGACAAATCAAGGGAGGAATAATAATAATAATAATAATTTTGGCTTATATAGCGCATTATGCTAAAGCCTCAATGCGCTTAACAGTAAAAATAAAATTCGGGGAAAAAAATTTAGAAAAATACAAGTTAAAAAGGTATCAATAATTAACACATACTCTCAACCAAACACATGCTTTAAAAACTTCATCCTCTCCAACCTATATAGTTGTCGCTGTACAATTATTCAATAGGTGTTGCTAATGAACGCCTTCTCAGTCAACCAATTACATGTTTTACTATTTTTAATAGTCGCTGTTCTATGGAGAACAAATCCACGCCCACATGAAGGTAGTATTTAACTGCCGAATCAAATAGCCTGCATACAATTGCCAAAAGTCTATGCCCGGTATTCCACAATATATATTATATTATATTATTATATTGGAATCCCAACCGGGATCGTGATCGGGATATTCAGACGTGATTTCGCTGGGATTTTTGGTCGGGTTTCCCGGCCGGAATTGTGGTATTTAGCCCAACATTCCAATGTCTGGATAACAACTTGATTCGCAAATCAGTCTTGTGATTTTTTTACGGGAATCTCGGTAAGCCATATCGGAATCTTAATCGGAATACTGCTTGGCAGGATTGTGATCAGGATTGTTCGATTAGGCCATTCATAGATAGTGGTAATATCGATCGGGATCGGGGTGGAAATTTCTGGTTACTGTTTCATTTTGTCGATTTTCTTGCTGGTTTCACAGTACATTTGCACATGTAATAAGATGTTTGGAAATTGATCCTTGTGCAGCCGCACCCTTGCAGCACCACCTGCACCATTTAATGTTGTCATCTGCAGCTGTATATAGAATTACCTATATGAACAAACGTACAGGTAAGCGCATCTGGCTTCCCCTCAAAGACATAATGCAACATATCACCTATGTCACAGAACAATTTATCAACATCATTGACTTCAAAAAGATAAGAGAGGGCATTCTGAAAGAGGTAATGTATGTAAGTATGTTGAGCAATTGGCATTTGAATTTGCTTCGTGAATGATAACTGCAATACTGTATAAGGGAGGAATTCCTTGACTTCCACAAAATGGAGAACACAATTGGAACATCGATTGCAGAGGCTATAAGGAGTATGCTACGTGAGTTTGGGATACCCATTCAAGAAATGAGGTGGCAATGCTATGATGATGATGCTGCTATGTCCAGTAGTAGAGTTGGGGTCCAAGCTAGGTTGAAGGAAGATGCACCACTTGCCACAGTTACGCACTGTGCAGGCCATTGTTTAAAACTTGTAATTGATAAAGCGTGTTCTCTGCCAGCCATCAGCTAACATACATAGATTAACATACATCTAAATTACAAAGTGTTATTACAACAGTAATGCAATTTGTAATAAAAATTAATAACACTTTGACTTTTTTTTTTTTTTATTTATTTATTTATTTATTTAAGTGCATATCAGCACTTCAATAGTGTTCGAAATAAGGCTTGTCCGCTTGTCCCATCTAACCAAAATATCCCACGGACAACCAGAACTATAGGGCAACTTGTCCGTGGGACAACCAAAAAATTTTGGACCCAAACCTCACCTCCCGAACTTTACTGCGTTGTTGTCACGGGCGCGGCCATTTTGGATTCGCCGAATCACATGTTTTCTCTGTCATTTACATTGCTAATTACTGTAGTATTTTAATTGTCCATAATGGTTTCGTCACATGCACTGATATACTTTAAACAATTTGATATAGTGAAAGTGTCTGATATTAGAAATTTCAAACCAAAAGACGTGAATGATTTCAAGAAGGACAAGATCTACGCTGTAAAGTGGGGTTCTGACGATGATCAGCCACAATATTATGAAGCATTCATTTTGCAGCTAGCTGGTAAGTTTTATTTGGTAATATTTTTTTTTTGTATATTGTGCCTTAACTCTAACTTAACATCTTGAAAGCAAACAATTATTTTGGGTGTTTTTTTCAACATTTCAGTCTAATAATGCCTTTTCCAGCAATGTAACACAGCCATGTTTAAGTTATTTTTAGATTGAAGTTTGGTGATTACATAATTATTATTAACCACAATTGTATTTTACAATGAACCCAAAACAGAAGAGCAAGATATACATTCAAACGTATGGATAAAGCTCTGCTAAAAGTGATTTTCGTCATGAGGGAATCAACAAGTAAAGCATAACTATGGAAGGGGTAGATGCATGCCCGGTAAGAAGGATTCAGTCGTTTCTGTGCTGATTACCCTAAGGTAGATATGCATTATTCGGCATTTTGCAAGCTGAAACGTGCCTGTGAACTAGGGATCAACATAACGTCTCCCGACATGCCAACCATACCAATTTCGGCGGAGTTGCTCTAGCAAAAAAAAAAAAAATCTAGCATTTCCAAATAATAAAATCCTGTGATTTAGGTAAGAACAAGACCAGTTAATTTCATCCTAAACAGCACTCTGAACTGTATACGAACAATTAATTCGTTGCCCACAGTCTACTGATTTAGAAAAAAAAAACAATTTCATTAGACATAGCGTTGCAGAGTTGCACACTGAACTACAGTACCTCTATACAAAAAAGTAATTAGCACTCCATGGCCTACCTGATTTAAAAAAAAACAGTCTAGTACCAAAGTGGAGTCAATGAGAGCGATGTCGATGTAGGCCTAGGCAGTTTTGGAAAAACCAGTGGTAGTGTTGAGCTTCTAAAAAAGAAGCTAAAACACACGCAAACATTCCGTGCAAGTTATAACAAAAAATATCCTGTCATTTTGAAATCAAAACTAGAATTAGGTGATGCCTACGCTCGTTGTGATCTGTGCGGTGTTCACTTTCTAAGTATAGGGCCATTGTGCATCAAAGTGTCATTGTGAGTCTGAACGCCATTTACAGTAAACGCCGATAATACGCCGCTGAAATTGCCAAAACTTTTTCAGACTTATCTTGTTGATTGACCTTGTAAGGTTGGCATGTCTGCGTCTCATCCAGAGAAGGCATCAAGGGAAGTGACCACAGACCAAATGATGGAGCTCAGGAAGTTATTAATTAATTGCTTATTGTACGACAATAAAGGCCTGCGTTTTCAGGACACGTCTGATGCATCGAAAGGGGCAGTTGTTGTCAGCGGTACTGTATCCTGATTTTTTTCTGCCTTTTAATTTCATTGGTATTGGTATTTTTATTGTTTTTACCCCTTTTTTCTTTCATCTGTTATTTTATTAAATTATTTTTACTTAATCTGGACTCCTTGGGAGACCAGTACATCGATTGTATTGAAATGAGCTGTCCAGAAATTAAATAAAGATTTGTATTGTATTGTATATTTTGAAACCTCAGAGGGAAAGGAACCCATGTCAAGAGAGCTTTTGAAAAGCATCATGAAGATTACAATTTGAGAATAAGGGAGGATGACAACATTTTTGCTGGAAGCATTTTCATCATTATTGGCTGCACATCGCATTGCTATTGTTTTTCATTGCTATTGCTACTGCATTCCAGGTGAAGCATATAATGCATTGGCTGCATGAGCGTTGTATCAGCAGAAGGCTTTTGGCTTATGTTGGAGTAAGGCGTTTAACTATATTTGTTTTGTCTCATACAGATAGTGCAGAAAATTGCATACCTCTCTTAAAGAGGCAGACATGGCATCCACTTCGTTGATGGTGCACCACCAAAGTTCTACGTACAGTATTATGTACCTCCGCCAAACCAATATTCAGCGTCATGAAACTGTATGAGTGCAAACAAACAGACAAACTGCTGCCGCCGACCATTGTTGGTGGAGGTAATAAAAAGTAAATGCTGTGAATTAACAACACGAAAAACAGAATTTTAGATGGCAAGACAAGAACATCACTTACCCTACGGCATCGACATGTGCTCTTGAACTGCATCTACCACTTGGGGTGGAAGACCTAGTACATTTCAGAAACCTATTTGAAGAAGCATCTAACTGTAACAGTCAGATGGTCCTCTACCGCCAACAAAATGTGGTCGATCGGTATATCTGGAATCGCTGTTACATTTACCGTAGCAACAATGATTTTTTGTTATCAAGTATCAAGTATTGAAATGAAATTACTTATAGTGAAAAAGGTACCCCCCACCTCTTTAATTGTGGGTCCTGAACACAAGAGTGTGTTTAAATAATACAACTAATTCAAATGATGATCAATAATTTGTTCCTTTGACTATCAATGAGTTAAGGTGAGCCTTTTAATAAATTTCTAACGTATCTAAGAATACTTGTTAAGCATTGTGAATATGACGACAAGGATAGAATGCTTAGGAACGCCTGTTAAACATTGTGAATATGATGACAAGGATAGAATGCTTAGGAACGCCATAGTAGTTGACTAGATGTATATCTATCGTGTCTGTTGAGTCAGCGTCCACTAACAGCAGCGCATGCGTCGTCACTGGGAGGGGAAAAGTTATCAAGGGAGATGCCCAGGGACTGTTTCCCATTTTCATGACTACCTGCTGATGTTGTTTTTGGTACGGATCCAAACCATCAATCAAACAGCACCAATCATACACAGTATGTAAAAACACTACAAAATAGATTACAGGAAGCATACACAATAGCTAGTGAAAATGCAGAGAAGGTGGCTTCTAGAAATCGGCAGAGATATGACAAGAGAATCAGAGGCAATGATTTGCAGAAAGGAGACAGGATTTTAGTTAAAAACTTAGCTAAGAAAGGACTTT